TTAAGAAAGTATAAGCAGAGAGAAATCTGTGAGCTACCACGTAAAAACATTCATGCAATGTTCTTGTGCACGGTCGATGTGCGACGATCATCGGATATACTTGTGCCACGATTGTGCAGGTAGTAAATAAGAATAAAAATACTGCACTCCTACACTTTATATGTTTCAAATTTGACTATACTTTATATGTTTGATGGGCAAATTACTTGTAAACAAAAATTTATTATTATTTTTCTATGAAAATGCATTTGTCATGCAAATATGCGCCTCTTCTCTACACAAAATAAATACCTTTTTTAAAAGATTCACTTATGTACTAATTTTTTTTATTAAAATAACATCTCGATAGTATAATTCTCAATTTTTAGCTTAAAATATTAAAACTTAAAAAGATAAAATTTTTTTTAGCAAAATGTGATTTTAAACAAAAATATTTTTCCGAGAATTTTTTTCAATAAAAATAATTAAACTAATAAGTTTTTATAATTGGAACATATTTTTTTATATTTCAATTTTATCTCAGATTTTTTTTATTATAGAATTTTTGGATACTTAGTTATTAAACTGCAGGTCTTGGAAAATTGCGTTGACCCACGGTGACCCAGTGTGTCAAACTCGGCCCACAGAAAAGGTGTAACAACCTAGGGTTAAAAGAAAATTCACCCCGTGTATGCGAGAAATACATCTGACCAAAATCATGTACGCCTACTAATGTCCAGCGGGCATTACTTCATCTTATTATCTTATTTTATCTTGTTTTAACTTATTTCATATTATTTTATCTGTATAATGCCCAAACTAATGCCCAAAAAATGTCTAGTAATGCGCAGTAATGCCGCAAATCCGTACACCACAATGCCCTTGGCGGTTTGCGCCTCGGTTTTTATTATTTGTCTAGCAGTTTTGCTTTTAGCTGATAAAACACGCTCCTTAAAATTTCAAGAGGCGCGTTTTATCGCGCCAGTAATATGATTATCACACAACATGATTATTATTATCAAGCGTGTTTCACAGAATCATCGATAGTTATTGATAGATAAATCGTAGAGAAATTCTAGAACTAAAATTAAAACGAGACGTTAAAGTTTGGGATATTGCGGGAAACTTCTCAAATGACTATTTCGAGCACGCTGAATGCACAATTTCCGGTCAATCGAGCCTCCAACGTAATGGAGGGAAATGATGTCTGCGTTTATCCGCGAATATTTTCGTATCTGTAACATCGGAGGATTCAGGAAGAGCGTATACCGGAGCTCTCCTCGAGCTCCAGTTCGATAAGAGCTAAAGGACGGACAATGTGCTCGATAAGCGAGAAATGCACTCTCTCTTTCTCCCTGACGCGCCGGTGGGCGCGAAAGTGATAGTCGATTTTTGGATGCAAACTGGACCGGGCCCGTGCAAGTGGGACAGAGTAGACCTGTAGTTATAAGTGGAACGCTACACGGTGACTATTTTTAGCGCGTCACCTGAGACACCTCGCTTAATTTCGCTGTCCTTAATCAGTCGAGGATCGATGTAACGCTATAACGCGCCGTTATTTTCCCCGGCGAGCTCTTCGTCCCTTTTAAAGGGTTGCGCGCGTAAACAGGCCGGGCGTCGCGGACGTAACGCCCCGCTGCGGTTTATAAAGAAAGACGCTCCGCGTAACAATAAGTTGCATTATTAAATATCGCGAAATCTTCGGAACGTTGCGCAAGAGGGGCGATTAGCAATTCTGAGCACGTGACGTTCGCGCTTGCAACTTAATCGCGGTGCTTTGAATTTCCTTCATTTTCCCCCGAAAGCGAAAGCGGGACAGCGAGTCGTCGATACGACACAGCCGGACAACCTTTGTACGTCGCGTATCTTTCAGAACTTACCCGGTCAGTGCGCATTTGTAGTAAATTTCCATTTTGCACTCGCTATGCCAATCGATTAACATAACAAAGCGATTTCATGAATTCGGCCGGTAGAGCGATTGAATATTCATGCGCGAACGGGCAGTTGGGCTTTATTGCGATTTTCAGCGATCGCTGGCTTAATGTGCGATCGCCGTCGCAGGTCCGTCGCTGCATCAGGCGAGATAAGTCTCGCCGCGGTCATGCAATTAATGAAGATCGTTCAGTTAATGACAGAAACTTTTTGCTAAAGTCAATGCAATGAAGTGGAGTCACCGTTTCTATTGATTTCTTTGTTTTTTTTTACGTTGCCTTCCTTTTTTGCGAAGATAAGACGGACAGTATCACCATTGTTTACGATGTCAATAAACCCACTTGAAACGCTCCTCTATTTTTTTCACTCGATACAATCGAGGAAGATTCACCTTTGATAAAATGGATATCTCTGTGCTCTCTCCTGATGATCGCAGAAAAACAAGAGTTCATTTAAACAACTCGAAGAGAGATAACATCTTGCTTTCGTTGCATACATAATTTTGAACAAAAGGAGTGATTTCTTTTATCTAGAAGTTGTTAACGAGTTTAAATAAAGATGTCTCTAATTTTTATTATAGAGGATAATCCTTTATTATGTGGGATAGACTCCTAATACGAGATAGCGGGGTTTCCGCTAAATTAATAGGCATCATCCGTTGGTTCTACCGTGAATTTATTGCCCTTGGAGTGAAATCTGTTTAGTGGAAAATTGATTGTTACACGGAAAGACCGGCTAAGGCAAAAATAACTGAAATTAAAATGTTGCCGTATAAATAGTAGGGGTATCTACATTGTTTTGTGTTGCAACATTCACTAAGTTTGCTGTACAAAACGCATATTTCTCCACTACTTACCATACGATTGCGGGTATGACAACCACAGAAAGAGCTGTCCAAAATATTACTATTTATTGGGGTTGTACCAACCCTAATTAGACATGCGATAACCATATCGGTCTCTCCGTGTAGATCGTGTAATCGTTGCAAAAAAGATTTGTGATCGAATTTGGACGTTGAAAACCCACTATCTCGTATTAGAATTCTATCTCATAATAGAGGACTTGCCTCTACATTTTGTGCATAGCACTTAAATAATTGAAAAATTTCATTGCGTTATGGACTATTATTAAAGTAGCTCGTTGCATTATTAATATTAGGTAAAGAGAGTTTATTGTGGATAAAAAAGTTGAAGTTGTCGAAGACAAAAAGTCGTAAACATTGTCACTCATCAATTAACTGTTTTTTTTTGTTATTATAATGAATATGCAAATTCAAGTTTATTTACCTTTATTATGCATAACAAAATCAATGCCATAATCGGTTGCAAACATTGGTTCGTTGAATCAGCTTTTCTATCAACTCGGGGTTAATAATAAGATTCATAACATCTCCAAGGCATCATATGCAGATATTTTTTTTGGAAGTGCGCCTGCTATCGCGTGGAAAAAGATTCTCGATTTATTCAGGCCAATACTTTCTCAAATAAACGGCCATATAAATTTATAAGCCTCATAAAAAATCAATCTAAAGTAAGTCTGTTATTTTCATCCATACTTTCGTAGTAAACGTCAAATTGTTTAATTTGCATTTCCTACAGTCGTCATTTAATTTTAAGAAGATAATACACCGAGAGAAAAGATTTATTTAGGTTAAACAAATGACATACGTAGAAATCAGGTTTCTTTGAATCTACTAAATTTTTATGTATTGCACTAAAACATTTGCTATAGATTTGAAGAAATAGATATGAATTCTCCTAGAAGTCCCAGTCTTGATCTTCTTTGAAATTAAATAAAAGTCTAGTAAGGTCAACATTCAAAGAAGATTTGTTTGATTTCAGTTTATAAAAATTTTAAAGCCTCGTGTCCACGATCCGAGAAATGTGTAGCTAATCAACTTGCAGCTTTTAAGGCCCGCGTTCACGATGCTAGACTTGGACCAAGTTCTAGCATCGTGGACACAGGCCTTTACGGAAAAGCTGCAGGTTGATTAGCTACACATTTCTCGGAACTAGAACTTGGACACAGTTCTTGGATTGTGGACACAAGGCTTAACGAATGTAAGATATACAGAATATATTTCTTTTATATGCTAATAAAACGAATTTCTTTTATAAATATTTGCCATTTTATTCTGCCCACCCATTACAAGATTTAACCTCAGCAACGTTTATCGTGTATACATAGACGTTACATAAATTTGTCTAGTCATTAGCGACGGCATTAGCATTTTCCGAAGATACGAAATGCAGTCGCATCGAAGACGAGGGCATCACCGGATGTTCTTCTTAAAATGTCACGCTCGTGCGACGCTACTTGCTTGATGAGACGTTGCGTCATATTCGTTTATTACGTCACCATTGTCAAGCGCACGCATACAAATCAGCCGTTTGAGAAATCCTCTTTTCCGCAGCAAAACGCTGAAGCAAGACGCTGACGTCCGCTCGAGTAAGCTTCTGTTGTGATGTTTTGACCATTGAATATCTCCGGCCGTCGAGCAAAGATCAGCCTACCGCACAGGATATTATATACGTTCAGTTAATCTTAATGACGGTCTCAGTGTCAGTTCCGTTAATGAAAACGCGACGACTTTGAGACGAGACCCGTCGACCGTCAAAAATTTTGTTAAAATGAGTTACGGTTGGTCCGAATAGAGATGTTAAATGGTTGCGAAATAGCGACTTTGTTTTCAAGAGAAGTTGCGTTTGTTAAAATTGTATTTAAAAAAGTTACAGCTTGGTAAACAGCTGATAAACAATTGATTGACGAATAATTTAACGCTGAATTATGTTTTATCTCTTACATTATAAATCTCCAAATGTTGCAAAAACCTTGATAAAAAACGATTACATGATTTTGAGGGTAAATTTTAAGAAAAAAATTCTCCCCGTGTGGCTTGTTGTAAGCAAAAGAACCGTTGCCTGTAGTATACATGTAGACTGTATTAAATGTATCTTTCTATATCGTCCAATTCATTCTCGCCATCAGAGAGCGCGTTAAAAGAAAATTTTCCATCCACCCTAGCGTAAGGCTTTGTATCTCGAAACGTGTAACATGTGTAATAGAACGGCGAATAATTTTCATTGCAGGAGTCTGCGGAGGATCGCCCGGCACGACGAGCCGGAGTTCAGCAACGCCAGCATTCTGAACAGCATGGAGAAATTCGTGCGCACCGTGAGCGAGATGGAGGACACCATTCTGGTGCCGAGCCGCCTGCTGGACCTGTCCGTGGGCGACGCCGGCGACACGGTCTGCATGAAGGGCAAGCGCGGCTGCACGGTGAAGGACACCCTGGCCAACACCGATCTGTACCGCCTCTATAACATCATCAATCAGATGAAGATCGAGCTGCTGTGGTCGCAGGAGCCCACGCGGGGCACCGTGGCGGACGATCAGACGCCGATCAAGAGCCATCCGGTCGGCAGCCCGTCCGCCGAGCTGGCGCACCACCACGCGAACGGCGGTAGACTCGGCCACGTGCGTTGCCCCAGCACCACGTCCATGCAGAGCGTGCAGAGCGCGTCCTCGATCGCCTGGACCTCCGACTCGGACTCCGAGAACGGTATCGAGATCGACAGCGGTCTGGAGGCCGAGGAGTGCGCGGTCGACCTGGCGAGCATCGCCGCCGAGAACTTTAAGCGTCATCTGCGCGGCCTCCACAGCAGCATCGCCCGCATGACGGAGGCGGCTGAGTATCTGACGTTGCGGTACCAGGCCGACGTGGGCGGGCAAGTCTGATTCGCCGCCGGCATCATCACCGTCGCTTTCGTCTGCGTCGCCGCCTGCGCGTCATTGATTGTCATCGCGAACAGGCCCCGTCGATCGATCTCGTGGACACTTTCGCGACTCCCGGCTTCCTGAGGTGCCTCGGCAGAACTTCAGGAAGCGCCGCGCGGCGAATCGCGAAGGACCTCACGCCGTGGAGCTCTAAAACCCGATATCAATCCGTTATCTTGCTGTATAATTCGCTGCGATTGAAATACGCTGCCCGCGCGCTCCGTTTGTGCCAACGCTAAAGTATTCCGGTAATGTATTCAGACGAGACAATAAATTGTCGAATGCGTAAATCACCACGCGTACGAACTATTAGTTCTTAAACGGAATTGAGAACATGAGATAAGATAGCTCGAGGGACGCGTTATTTTTGGTATAGATAGCGTTATAAAGAGATAACACTTAGTTTTGTTCAGTTTTCAACTATAGCTTTCGCACTGGCAATCGAATTCAGTTGAACAAAATGAGAACAACCTACAATCAGGGACGGATGTGATTATACGTAACATAAATCATTTTTTCGTTATTTTATTGCGGTTGGAGCATATTGTATTTCTAGTAATAGGTTTAGATTTGTATCACGTATATGCTTGTATGTGTGTGTGTCGGGTATAGAAGGTACGAGAAAGATGAACATAAAATGAAAATGTCATATGTGAACGGCACATTTAAGCGCATGAATTGTGTAGTTTAGACCACTCTTACTTGCGTCACATCCTAGATTGCATTTTCTCGTACAATTTTCTTTCGATGAAGCATCGCGTTGCTTTAGAGTAATTCTCCATTTAACGCCATTATTTTTTACTTTTGTACACAAAGAATTGGAATTAATTTAAAATTGTTGCAGATTGGCCGCTTCGGTTCACGCTTGCAAAAGAAATTTAGTTTGGACATACAAGTTTTCTGTCGAAAAACTGCCAACGATTCGAGGATGACTAAAATCATTTGAAAAGAATCGTCGATAAAATGAAGTTTGGCCTTTCGTTGTGTATATTTATTTATTTATTTTAACAGCTTTCGTACATAGGTCCCTCTTTTTAGACTTAAACGATGTGTCGAGATCTCAAGGATACAAAATACAAAAATATTATTGTTATAGACATTTGAAGGTTTTTAAAAACTATTTATAAATTGTATGGAAAGAAACGAGATGGAGCCGTAATAGTTCATATGTATATATTATTGTTGGATGTTATTTTATAACATATGCGATTTATTGTAATATAAGTCACGACTAGTGGTTTGTGACTAAAGTACCGAATTACCTCTGAATTACTGTAAATACTGCTACATCGAAAGAACGAGTGCATTTTGGACATAGCGGAGTGAGATTGTACAAACTATAGTATATGTCTTGGAGTGTCGTGTATGTCTGCGGTAGAAGTCGCGTCAGTCACGCTCAAGTATCCCTTCTCCCTTAGATTTTTCTCCTCATTTTTGGATTTTCACTTTCGCGAGAGAGCGAATTGTTAATGTTATCGAATTGTATCTTATGCCACGGCGGCGACCGACGTTAGTGTGTATATATACATATTTAGTGCTCTACGATTATTTATTTCTACATAAAGTTAATAGAAGGCACCGTTTAACTTGTAAGTTGCGCGAGTTGTGAATGTGCTCGTTCGCGGTGAATCGTTTTTAAGTCGTAGGCGAAAAAGAACGATTGGTCGGTGCATGTTTCTAAGCCGATAGAATTTGGAACGGTGTCTGGAACTCGTAATCCATAATGCGTTCGCACTGTAAATAGAGCCGGTGAGATGCTTTCCTGACGCGCTAATATCATTAGAATCCGAATGATTGCGGATCTTGCGTATCGGATTTGTACAGTTTGCGGTTAAGAATTTTTCGAACTTTTAATGCAAAAATTAGAGAAGAGCAGAAGAAGAAAAAAGTGGCGGAGAGGAAAACTGTTACTATGTTACAATAATTTTCGAGAGCAACACACAAATTGTTTCTAATAAATGATATAAATTCTTACAAGAGTGTATCTTTGTGTGCTTAAGTACATTACTGTATATTCCCGCTTTACATTCGCGACTTGTTGAAAATCCTTCGAGACAAGTAGCACAAAATTCACTATTATTTCGTTACACATTTCTTTCCTCTGTATACATTTTATGTACATATAACGATGCATAAAATAATACAAATTTATAGATACGGTGCCATATCTGTTGAAACTTATGTTTCAACGTAATCTGCATTCGTGAGCTGCGCAAAATTGTGGAAATCTTAAACGTCCGATACGAAAATCATGGCTAGACGACAATTCGGACTTGTAACTGTGCCACTGATTTGTTATTTTTAGAAAGGTGTCTTTTTCACGCATTTTCTTTACCTGCTTTTGTGGAATAAGAGGAAAAGTGTTTCGGAGGAATCTTTCAGAACATTTAAGCTTTTCATGATTATGCAATTGACTCGCTATGCATAGGTGAATTAAGTTAAGAATTAAGTTACGCTAAGAATGATTTTTATATTCATTCCACATCGTGAGAGTTGTCTACTTTTATGATTCTCCTAAGATATGGCGGTACATCTCGGGGATTTTCAAATAGCGCGTACATGCATTGGTATATTTGCTATCAGTGACGTACCGATGATCCAAAGTAAAGATAGAAATGACAAGTAATTCCGTTTGCGCTGCTTAATAGCAAGAACAATATTCGTCGCTGCGCTGGATGCAATGCTGCGTAACGTAACTAAGTTTTAACGAGAATTTGACAGTCCCCGAGATTGCGTATAAATTATGATTATTTATGGGTCATAAATAATACGTGTGTAACGTTAGCAAAGTAATCGATTAGAATACAAATACTGTGCTGCGGTAATAGTCTGCTCTTCGCGTGGGATCATGACCATTACTACAGGATTGGCGATGTTAATTAGATTAATAACATTTATAAAGAATATTTGATACACTTGAATGCAATTGTGCGAAAAAGAACAAAAGTGCCCAATTGGAATATAATTCAACCAGATTTTTACTGTTGTACTGTTATACGCGAAATGGTGATAAAATACGAGAAATTTAACTTATTATTCTCGAGTTTATTCTGAGAGATGTATGCAAACGTGGATCATTTTGCAGTTTGTTTAACGTTAAAGCGAAACTTCTATTCTGAAAGAGTTCTTTCTTGCATAGTTTATTTTGTTGCACGATGCAATTGCAGTCCTTGTGTCAAGATATTCTGTACGCAATTGGAACATTGTCGCATATAATATTTCGTGCTTTCTCGCTTTACGCGCTGTGATGAAATATGTAGAAATTGATTTAATTCAACAAGTTTTCGAAAAGCGCTTCGTCACCGTAATTAATATATCAAGTGGTACGCGTGCGTTTATTACTTTGGCGTCCTTCAGCTTTACACGTGTTTACCTATACAGCACGCATGTTTAAAAGACATCTTTAAGACACGCGTGCTGTATGGGTAGTGTTTGCAACATGGAATTAGGTGGTACACGAACTGCCTTGATTTTATATTGCGATAACGCTGTTAAAAGAGCTCAATTTCAGTAAGGAACATTAGCTTTAGTAGACGATACCGACGTTGATATGTACAGATTAACGTGCGTACTGGATCTTCGGGATACATGTATGGTATTTGTAAAACGTCTGCGCACTTGAATGATGGTAATAAATTAATTACTTCCACACCCAGTGCCTATTGTATCTCACGAAGCCAAATACGTAATTAAAATGAAGCATCAAGAGACGCGAGACTATACGGTTTCTCCCTAATCTTCGACACTAACAAATCCTCATATGCACAGTCTTTACTTCTTTTTACCATCTCGACGAAAAAGAAAAACCTATTTTTTATCAAATAGAAACAAGAACACCAAATATTATCAGAGCCAGGCAAGCTGAAGGTAGCCTAATAATTTTTTAAATTTAATATGTAAATTCATATGCCGTTTATTTTTCCTATTTTTCTTTTCAATTGAAAAAAGAGGATGATTAAAGCACAAAATGCTCTGTCACGATACAATTTTCAGAAATTTTATGTCAAGAAAACACTTTGCCATAACAGAGTATATTCATATTTAGTCGCATGCGAACGAGAGAGAACGGAATAGCACAAAACAGAGTTTGTCCTTTTCTACGCGAACCTCTGCCCCCACTGCTCAAATAAAGGCAAACGCTCGGTCTAGATATACAGGGTGTCTCATTTTAAATGATCCGCGCAAGTATCTCAAAAAATATGAAAGATATCGAGAAACGTTTCAAACAAACGTTGTTTGGCTCGAAGGGGGACATAAGGTGGTGCCATTGACTTGACCTTGGATAGTCATTTGAAGGTCACGTGAAGGTCACCTTCAATTCTTTTAACGGAACCCGCTACTATATTGTTTATTATACTGTCTTGTTCTACTAATTAATGTGAACAACTTTTCTCCGAAGCATTTTTTGATTTGCCTAATACTTTTTGAGATATTCAAGATAAAAATTTATAACTTTTTCAATATTTAGCTCATGATATCTCGATAACTGTCGGAGGAAAAAGTAGTACATGACTTTTTTACTCGATTCGGTCTTAGGAATATGCTGTTGCAATATAAGTGTTTCAATTATTGAAAATTCTTGTGTATTGTAACAAACACAAAATTTACATACGCAAAAATTTTCAATAACTGGAGCACTATTGCAACAGCATATTCCCGAGGCCAAATCAAGTAAAAAAGTCCTGTACTACTTTTCCCTCCGACAAACAGTTATCGAGATATCATGAGTTAAATATTGAAAAAGTTATAAATTTTCTCTTGAATATCTCAAAAAGTATTAGGCAAATCAAAAAATGTCTCGGGCAAAAGTTGTTCGTACTAATTAGTAGAATAAGACGGTATAATAAACAATAGGGGGTTTGCATTTAAAAACTTGAAGGTGCCCTGATGGAAAAATTTTGCTGAAACTGTAATGAAATTGATGAAAAGTGAAATGAAAGTTATTGGAAACTTGTTGAAACCATTTCAAAATAAATCATAAGTTTCGTTATGAAATTCAATGAAATACTGTGAAATTAGATGAAAGTTAATTAATATTACTAAAAATTAATTACAAAATTTTAGAAATGTTGTATATTATGAAATTTGCGGAATTTAACTGAAAATAAATTTTTTAATGAAAAATTGCTGAAAACGATAATGAAATTGGGTCAATTGCAAGAGATTTTCAACCAAATTTCAGCAAATTTCATTACGTTTTCAGCAAAATTTTTCCATCAGGGTGACCTTCAAATGACTATCCAAGGTCAAGCCAATGGCACCACCTTATGTCCCCCTTGGAACCAAACAACTTTTGTTCGAAACGTTTCTCCGTATCATTCACATTTCTGGAGATACTTGCGTGGATCATTCAAAATGAGACACCCTGTATTATGCCTGTGGGCTTCTCTCTGGTATGCACACGTGCGCGCGGCGGCGCGCGTCCTCTAGCGAAATATCTTTTTTTATTTCAACTTTACCCTCTTGTGGGAACGCCTCTCAACCGTTAGGTTATGTCGGCGATATTTCTAAGAAGTCCTTGAAATTCGTGCCTGGGGTGCTTTTCAGCAGGAGACGCGTATTGACACGGTGTGATGCAGAGAGTCTCTAGCGAAATGCCGCTGTCGCAGTGACAAGCTATCAGCTGTCGGCCTTCGAGACACGAGTGTGCACGGCAGGTAACGTGACAACGAGAGGAATAGCGAATAAATTTGAATAGATTCCCGGTCGCGGTGGTGTCACCAGGATTCTGTTACTTCGCGTCGTTAACGATGTCGCGCCACATCGACCGTATCGCTGTCGGACGATAAGGGATGTATGAACAGGCGGCGAGCGGTTGGGCCGTCGGCCTCCGCGCCCTGCTCGACCCAACGAAATTTCTGCCGTTCCTCCCGAGTTTATGGGACGAGCGGGCCATCGGCTCGCGTTACCCGAGCGACACGAAGGTACGGGAGACCGACGTGCTCGTGGGATACCTCGTACTATTCTGGGTGATACTGTACATGGTGTACGACAAGTGTCTTAACGTGAGTCCTTAAAGTCTAATCTACAATGTGCTTTTCGCAACGAGCTTAAAAAGTTCGTGTACAATGCACGATTGTGCACAGTGTGTAATATACAGTTTATCAACGCGCACCAGTTTTTTAAACGCGCACGTGGCTAGGAAACAAAATGTTGTTAGACGCAAAGAACACACTGTAGATCGGGCTGAACGCGTTAAATTTTGAGAACGCGTTTCCAAAATACACATATCTTACGCCTTGTACTTTTCCCCGCAGTCGCTCCTCAGGCGTATGCGCTTTCCGCTGGTCCAGCGCAGCAGGATAATCGAGGCTGTATGGAACTGCGGATTCTGTTTCGGTAGTGTATGTTACATGAAGTCGTCAGCCGCGCAGCTCCTGAGCTTAGCACCCCACGAGCAGGGAGTGACTTACCGGGAATTGGGGGTCGCGCTGCACAAGAGTTTTTACTTTCATCAGGCGGGAATCGACATACTGTGTCACGGCGCTTGGATAAAGGGCTGCGCGAACTTACTCTTTGCGTCTTTTGTCTTGAATCCATATCAGCAAAAGTAAATCATCCAGTTAGAACTGCTCTGTGGACATAACGTTTTCTCTAATTTTTTTAACACTGTTTTTGCTCAATCTCTATTTTCTTCTCAGTCTCATCCTGAAAACTGTTTAGAGCCATTTAAATCTTGATGTTTCATTTGACATTGTTAGTTTGCTGACAATTGACATTTTCTTCATTCATGTACGTAGAGGAAAGTCTGCTGTTATGAGATAGGAATCTAATATGAGATAGTAGGTATTCAACGTCCAATCACAAATCTGTTCGCAACAATTACACGATCTAACAATCAATTTTTTACTAAACAGATTTCACTCCACGGGCAAGAAATTCATGGTCGAACCAACAGACGATGCCTATTAATTTAGTAGAAACTCCGCTATCTCATATTAGGATTCTATCGTATAATAGGGGACTTACCTCTATGTGTGTTATGTAATTTTATGCGTACACAAGAATACATGTGTGTGCTTTCTACAGTTACAGGTGGTGTACAGTAACAAGTACCTTTCTGATGTACAAGACTATCGACATTGTGATAGTTAACGTCTGTCGGATCCTGTTGTGCATTTTTCAAACTGTCGGGAGACCAGTCTCTAAGCTGTTGTTTCTGTTACACTGCCTGACATGGTTAGTAAATATTATATCTCCGGTCAATGTATTGTGTAACACAAATAATGTTCCTCAGGATCTATTTGTACTTACACTACGTGCCTACGTCTGTGCTATGGTCGGAGGAAGTTAAGCATGCGAGAACGGAACCTGGCTTGTGGCTCTGGTTTGCAGCGGAATGCTTAGATTCGGTAGGCACGAGTTCTACATGTTTCTGATTTAAACAACCCAAGTAGAACACGTTAATCGCAAAAACGTCAATGTGACATTAAAATGATGAATTTTACGTCGTAAAATGATCGACATCAAGATTTACTTTGCAATGACTAAATTATGGCATGCTGTTTTATGATATTCGTGATGCGTATTGGGTGGTAAACTTAGTTTCCGCGGTGTTTAACAAACTCATTTATTTCGATATCAAAAGCAAAAAATACATCAAAGTATTTGCCCTCGCTACCTATACATTTTTTCCATCTTTCTGGCAATGAGTGGATTCCGCAACGATAGAACAAAATGCACCGTGATTTTCAAGTTTTCTTATTCGTGCACTTTAAAACTAGCTATGCTAAAAGAAATCAAAAAGTGATATAATTTTGGCTGGCACTGTATGTGTATACGTGTGATTGCTGTATGTTAATGAAAATACGCAATTAGGTATGGTTGAGACTCATTGGACATGCGAAAGCTACGCATTGGCTCGAAATCTGTCTGTTTCCACCGCCAACGCAGGAAGCCATTGAACTGGCCGGTATCCACAAAAGGCACAGAGAGTCGTTGAGGAAGTGCAGTAGCAAAACAGCAAAGAAAGTCGAATTGTGGCAAACGCTAGTTTGTAAGTTCTACATTCTTACTTTTTCTTTGAATTTTGAATTGGATTGTAGCCTGGATAACGTGTTGTTATACGAACAGGCGCGATGGCGATTAAAAAGAAAATTAAGAAGATTCGTAAGGCTAAAAGCAGTATGGGCGCATCGACGAGAGATCTTGAGGAAGTGGAGTCGTTTGAAACGCAAGGAGATCCGCGAGTTAGCGGAGAATTGGCGAAGTTGTACTGAAATATTTCTGAGAAATAGCATTTGCAGAATTTATACAAACGACGAAAGATACGAGCCTTTTTCAAACGAATTTATTTGTACGACGAAAGAATAGATTTTTGTGATGTTCAAAACATTGCGTACGAATTTTTGTCTTGTCACATCGATGGCACGTCATTTTCAACGAGCACCATTCTCTATTGAGACTTGTGTACAGCTATATTTGTATATAATTATAAACTAGCGACGGAGCAAACGCGGCGATCAAAGTGCGCCGCATATTCTGGAAAAGATCAGAATCAACGCAGAAAGACTGTACAGCAAGTTTTTATACAAAAATTAAGTTTATTTCATAATTTCGTAGATGTACACCCGCTTACGTAGAAAAATCATCGTCGTTTACGCGTTTATAATTTAGTTTAGGATGTCTCGACAACAGTTAGCTGGATACTCCAGTAACGTTACAATCGAGTCGGAGGCGTTTTTCTCGGAGCAAATGTTAAGGAGCATTGCTGTTAGTCGCACTGTTGATCGTCTATACAACTCAAGACACACAAATATTACACTAGTCATAGATGTAAAATACGATATCGGTTCGTTGAATGGCACTCTTATCCAAATTGAATATACGTTCCTTCGTGTGATATAATTGCACATAAATCCACGAAGTGGTAAATTTGCGTTTGCGAAGCTGTACATATACGATATGTGACGCTACACTGTTAATACGAAGTTACAGTATCGTGCAATTTGCATTCGCCTCGACGAGCGATGTGAAACATCGCCACTAATTCGCAGTAACAAGTTGACTTTAGGTCACATCATAAATTCGATTACAGTGGCTTTGATACAGGGTACCATCCTTGTTTATGGCAGTAAATAGGTAAGGTGCATTTTTGAGCAACGGAATTGTTATCGCAGTAATTGGGGGGGGGGGGGGCAACGCTAGAGACGTACGTCGACATACGGTCTCGCTCTCAAAATTGACAGACAAGACCGAGATCTTTTTTAAAAAGTGGAATATCGTTTGGTACTACTCTTTTTTTTTCTTATATATCCTAAGAGGAGAGCCTATATATCTTTTAAATTGTACGCCGTATTCTCTAAACACGTGTATGCAGTGTCTTTCGATTCTGGATGCTGCGGAGATATTGTCCTGTCGTGTTTGAATCATCGATAAATGTATTACATAAATGAAGACAACGACAATTTATTAGATAAGTTTAATCTTATAGACACACTTACAAAATATCTTGTTATATTGTTTTATATCGTGTATGTATGGATTATTCATATGTTTACGGATGTATACCCTCGCGGAGAGAGATGCAACTTGCGTTTAACTATCACTGCGCTTATTTCGACAAAGTGTAATTGTCACCCTTATTATACGCACGCACCTGACTCAAGCACTGTTCGTTGAACAAAAGGGGAAAGGGAGATTCGGGCTAAAGTACTTGTCAAATTTATCTCACTGTCAGTGCCGTAATGACGATACGTTTGTCTCTAATGCGTCGCATTAGTTACATACGAACAGGACCGTGCAAAGGGTTTTTGGGGCCCTGGTGCAAAGATAAAAATGGGGCCCTTTCATGAATTTAATATCTTGTGTTTTAAAAAAGAAGAAGAACGTTTTAAAGTATTCGTAATATCAAGTGGACCACAGCATTTATTTTAGAAAATTAGATATAAGAGCCGTTTGATTAAATAAACGATTACATCACCGATGTATAATATTCACATTAAAACTTTAAAGATTTCATTTTTAAATTATTATTTTATGAATTATAAATGAATATAATTTGTATACAAAATAAAATTGGATAAAAATGAATATGTAGAAACAATCAATTTCTAAAAAAAGACATGTAAACTCGATACTCGAATCTATCAAAGTTTATTGTTGTCGCTTTTCCGCGATGCCGATTGGTTCTCTCTTTGCGCTTACTTCCTAAA